TGGATATAATTCAAAAAAATTTCTACAATTACATTCTTGTATACATTTAGAATTCATTACAGCATTTAAACGATATTTTTGCATTATATCAAATGTCCATTTTGTTATTAATTGTACAACATTAAATGTTATTGATTGTAAAATAGTTATAATTATTGTTTCAATTGATGAATTTAAATCAATAATTGAAAGAAGTTTATTATTAATAAATAATGAAAGACTTTCTTCTGGTGAACAAAATAATTTATTAATTGATAAATTTTGTTCATCAGTTTCATTACAATTATTCATATTACATTGTATAGAAAAATCATTTGACCATTTCGATATTAAATAAAAACCACGAGATTTTCCTGTTGTTGAATCAATTGTACACATTGATTGCCAAAGTAATTCAATAGATATCCAATGTGATGGATATTTAAATCTTGCAACATCAAGTATAAGTACAAGATCTTCTTGTAAATGATATCCAGCTATTGGTGAAAAATGTCCTGTACCTGTTTGTTGAAGTGTACTACGATTATAACAACATACAAGACGAATATCATCTAAACGACGGGTACAAGCAACAAGTATAGCTGAACGAAATTGTTCAAGTGTTGTATTTGAAGCAAGATATGGAATTATTGAAGCACCATTACATTCAGTTAGATAAAGAAATTCTTCAAATGTAATACCTTGTTCTAAAATATTTTCTAATGGATTATCTTTTGATTTACGTTTATCACATGTACGTAATGTATTTTCATCAAAAAAACGCCAATTACCTTTCCATATATGACCAGGATCAATATTTAAACTATTTAATACTTTAAAAAAAAACATATGAAATTTATTTTTTTTATATGTATATACTAACCCATTGAAAGTGTTCCAGGACCACAATATGAAGGTTCAGCTTGTGTATGAAATGTTTCTGCTAAACTAAAATATCCATGTAAACCATCAGTAAGAAGTGCTTCACGAAATAAATGTTTTCCTTTATCAGAATTGAAAGGTATAGCAATATCAGGTAATGGACGACGATGCCAACCAGGTATACATCGTGTTGTTACATTACCATACGGTTGTTCAATAGTTGTAATAGAACTACAACTTTGTGATGTTGTCATATGTTACTAGAAAAAAAACAAAAAAAAATAAACAGAAAATAGAATCTACTCCTACGTTCGAACTAAAAAACTATTAGTTCCTAGCAGAGAAAATACAGTCAAGATCCTAGTGATTCATCGATTTGGAAAGAAGCTACACATAAGAATATATTTTTTTTTTAATATTGACATTCTAAGTCATTAAAAAAAGGATTAGAATTTTTCTTTCAAGGGCCTTAATTATATTTCCGAGATCATCATTGATAACTGGCGACAAGATCGGAATGATGTCTATTTTGAACCAATAAAAACTTTGCATCAAAAACCGCCTATACTCTATTTGATCTGACCACAGGATGATTGAGCTGGTTTTCTCACATGAACGATTGGATAAATCAATCTCTCCAACCAACATTCATTCTAGCATATCTATCCTTTTCTCATTGGATCAATTCTTTCCAATAAAACTTTGAGTATATCTATATTATATTTTAAATTGTATGATATTCATTATTTCAGAAAATGTCGTCTTTAGAATTTCCCGATGTACTTTATCCAGAATATTTAACTTGTAATGATCAACCGCATGAAATCTTACTTGATCAATGGCCTTTAACAACTATGGTTAATTAATTTAAAATAAAATTTTTTTATAAAAGATTTTTTGTTCCTTTTGACATTTTAGGATTTAACATTAGATAAAAATTTTGTTATGCAAAAAATAGCTTCATCACAACATACATCTACTATTCGAGCAACTGCACCACCATTTACTTATTCAAGTAATAATTTTTTTGATGTCTTATATATATTAAAGCTATATTTATAAAAATTTAGTTGCATCAGATGATTTAACTCATATGAATAAATATACATTGTCGACAGTAAATGTTAACGAGTATAATTATCTTATTCATATATATTTAATTAATTTTCATTTATAGAAATATAAAAATAATTCAACTCATCTTATTACTAAACAAAATCATCTTATATATGTTACAAAAAAAAATCAATTGAGTAAAAAAAAAACATACAATTAATTATTTTCATGATTTTATTTTTCTATGTTTATTTTGAGATATACAATCATTATCAAATAATATCTATGATGATATTTGGTCAAATACAATTGAACATTTATCTACAATAGAACAACGAAAATATATTATACAATCATTAACTTCTATTAAATTATTAGATTGTACTGAAGAAAATGAACAAATATTAAATATTGCTCTTGCTGATCAAGTATTTCGAAAAATACAAAAAAAAAAAATTCAATCTTTGTTTTTTTATTTATAGAAAGGTTTATCATTTTATTCATATAATCCAACAACAATAACCTCAACATTAACTTCACATATTAAAACACCTGAACATACATCAATATTATCTTTATCTTTTAATCCATATATAACATCAAATGCTATAATGATTGATAAAAATTATCGAATATATTTACTTGATGATGGTATATTTACTTATCTTCATCAACAAATAGATGAAAAAATTCATTCATTAGATATTTCTCGACAAATATATATTGATTGGGATGCTTCACCATTTTTATATACAATAGCTGATAGTCATAATGGTTCTTGTCATTTATTTGATATACGTTTACATAATGAATCATTTAAAGAACTTTTTACTATTAGTAATAATCATTCATATTTAAATAAAACAGAAATTATTCGTGGTTATAAAACAAGTGTAATAAATTCTTATCAACATATATTTATTACAGATTATTCATTAATTATAATCGATTCACGAATGCCAAATAGATCAGTAAATAATCGATACAAAAAAAAATTAATTAAAATATGATATCGAATGTCCCAAGAGTTTTGCGACATTTATCTCGACTTGAAAAAATGATAAAATCTTGATTTGTTTTTTCTTAAAAGATGCGCCATGAAAAGTTCTGTATAAAGAAATCTCTATTAATTGGTTCTGATAGTTTTCCGATGCTTAAGGGTACCCCCCCCCTCCTCTTTTTCGATCAAAAACTCGATTTTGAGATGAGCATAAGGTACCATAGCCTCAAGTGTTGTGTACAATTAGACACATTAAGCGGCTCTAAATACCTTACTATTACAGAGTTACTGAATTAAACAAATTCTTTTCTTTTTCTTAGCGTATCGCAAAACCATGATTTTCTCGATCTTGGTTGCTTACGATCCCTCTCTAACTTTGTCCGATCGGGCTGAAATTTTTACCACTAATATTTGAGAATATTCTCCAGAGGTAGAATCGAGCGTTTTCATTTTTGACATTCCTATCCGAAGTTACAGGGGTCTGAAAGGCAAGACCTAAGTGTCATTTCGAGATCTTGACGTATTTTTCTTATAAAAAAAAAAAAGAAAGTGAGATTTTTGAAATAGCTCGAATTTACCTTTGGAGAATAGTCTTCAGTATCTATAAAAAAAATTTCAGCTCAATCGGACAAATTTTGAGAGGGGTCGTAATGTACCAGAATGTAGACCTTTGAAAAACTGGAGTTTTCGAGAAAACCCCATATAAACTTAATCCAATTTTTTTTTTCCTCGAACACATATCTCGTTATTTTTGATGCTCTATCTGTACTCAAAAATTTGAGCTTGATTGGTTGTACCGGTTTCCGAAAACCGAAAAAAAGGGGGGGGGGGTACCCTTAATGCAAACAACCGACATAGTGGCGTTATGTCCCACCGTATTGAGCATTGTAAAAATGTTTGAAACACCTTTTCGTTTTGCAATAGGGACTTATTCATACAGAGTGCGGAAAAGCCAACAGAGCAAGTCAATAGGAATTTGTTTACACGAATTTTGTAGAGCGTTTCATGGTGCAACAAAAAACATCAAGATTTTATCATTTTTTTTTTCAAGTCGAGATAAATGTGAAAGAAAAAAAATGTCACAAAACTCTTGAGACATCCGATATTTATTGTTTTTTTTCTCAAAGGCTATACATTCATATCATGAATTATTACGACCACCAACATCATTTACACAAATTAAATCAAATAATCAACATATTATTTTTATTAATGATGAATATAATACAAATGTACTTGAATATAATACTGATATACATCGTCGTTTAATACAAATAAATCCTTGTTGGGAACTTTGTCCTATATCAAATAGTCGAATGTATTTAATAAATAATAATAAATATAAGAATAAAGAATTATTATTTGCTAAATCAATGTATTTTGATATTCCTATACGAGATATGGTTGCTGTATCTAATTCAATAAATTCAAAATCTTTTCTTCTTTTTCAAGTAAAAAAAAATTTTTGTTTTTTTTCTATATAATTAAAATAATCTTTTATATTTTATAGTTAAACAGTGCTGGTAATATACATGTACAACTTTTTGATGAATGTAATGATAAAAATGAAGAAAAAACATGGAATCCTGATCCAGATAATTTATTAAAACAACCACCTGATTGTTTTCAACAAGCAAATAATTATTGGTCAACAAAGTTCGTTTGTTTTTTTTTTGAATTTTTATTAAAATAGTTATGATTTAATTAGATTTTTATCATTATTTCAATGTCATGATTGTTTAACATATAATGTTGAACCAACAAATTTTACTATTTTAACACCATTACGTGCAATAACACAAACATCATTACGTGATTTTCCAACATTTAAAAATGAACATAAATCTGCAGAAAAAATAATATCACGTAAATTTAAAAATAAAAAAAAACAAAAAAAATAATAATATATGTATATATTATTTTTAAGCTGAACTTTTTGAATGTCCAACATGTAGATGTATGCCAAATCTTAAAACAAAAGGACAATTATCTCGTGCAAAAAATTGGATTCAAGGTATTAATCATATAGAAAACAAAAAAAAAAAAACAATGAATTTTTTTATTCGAATTTAATTCTTTCATAGATATGAAATCACAATTAGATGATGTACAACAAGAATTACCTGTATGTTAAATTAAATATTTTGTTTGTTTTTTTTTTTCTAATTATATCATTAAAAGGATACAACACAAACAACAACATTTAATTGGAGACAGATATTTAATTATGATGAATTGAATGAAGCAAATGAAGATTCAACATTATGGGATGAAATTCATCGGCCATGGCTTCCATCAAAAAATAGTATTAAAGATGAATCATTTCAGTCATCATTAGAATGATA